ATTGGGATTAATTGGTATGATATTCTTACAAAACACAACTGATGGAAATGCCTATTCAATTTGAAATATCAATAATAACCCTGAATCTATTGTTCTGTTAATTCCCAAGAAAGGATGTACAGCATCTTTCCTTGAACACCCACATTTGTCTTCAGCACATGAAATTACCCTGAGAGAACGTGTAATGAACAAGACCCTCCATCTACTTCTGCCCTGACTTCTGCTTCAAAAGGAATAATGGATTAAAATAAATGTTAAAAAAAAAAAGATGTACTTTTAAATTTTACACTTGTTTGCACTGGAACATGCCACTTTCCATGCTTCTGAAACCCACAATATCAACATATTTCTCTTGAGAAAAATGGCCTTTTAAATCATTACTTGTATCTCCATGATAAGTGCTGGTGTGATCATACTGGAGAAGGAAAATATCCTTTACGCATAGGTATCCATGATGCTTATCAGCCTAGCAAAACTTCTCAGCTAGGACCTGAGGAAAACAGCTTGTCTCATAAGATAAGAGATTGGTTCTGTCTTTAGTCTACACCTATCCTTAGTTTACATCTCCAGAAAAGTAGGATTACTCTGCATCTTCACTAGCAAGTTTTCAGTAGCTCTGTAGTCAGCATTTTGAGAGCTTTGGAATTTGTTGAGCATTGCATTGTACTTTGGCACTTAGATGACTATTATAGACAAATGATTTCCTGTCCAATACAGAATCACCTGTTCAAAAGTCTAGGCATTTAGAGGAATAAGCAGCTACTTTATATATTATTCCTAGAATCCGAATCTTTGAAATGAACATTTTTATTTCATTAAAACAATTTAGAAAGTGTATCCCATGGTGAATTAGATATAACTGTCAGGAGAAGTTTGGGCACAAATGATTTTAAACATTTTCATTCATTCCAGCCATGGATGCCAATTGTTATGCATTTATGTAATTTTCAGTTGTTGCCTCTGACCAGGGGTCCTTCAGCAGCCATCATTATCCCATGCCAACTGCCCTCTCCATTTGCCTACTGACAACCAGTATCCTTTCCTAAAATGGTTAGAATTATTTGAACAGTTCTCTGGGGTTTAGGGCTTGTCTGTGCCCATCAAAACACAAGTGAGAGAAGCAAGAAAACAGGGCACAGAAAAGCATTACTAACCTCAAAATATTGAAATAAATTCAAATTTCTGGTCTCACGAGACTACATTCAAGATTGTGCCTGCTGATCTGTGCTGTAATGTAAAAAAACAGCAATCTCTATTGTGATAACAGCAGAAACCTTCATTCTGAAATTTGTAAGCATTTTCCAAAGTAACAATAATATCCCTTTGGTTGAATTATGTCTATCTGTAAACAGAAACATCTGACATAACATATTTCAAACTTATTATGTTTTGTGTTTGTGCACAAAGCAGTGTCAATGGTGTAAATTATAATGAACATCTAAAATTAAAGGAGAGACAGATTAATACCTCATAGGAAATGCTGTAAAGCTATCTTTAAATTAATACTAGTTTAGGACTTGAGTGTTTTTTTTTTCCCTCTAGATACTTGCTCTCAGTGAATCACACTACAAATCTGCAAATCTTTGGAGAGGGAGGGAAACCACCCATACACTTCTACCACTTCAGTACCTTCCTTACTTATAAAGACTCTTCCATCTTTACAAAACTAATCTCAGGTGGCTAAACATTGAGTCTACATTTTTCATAGCTACAGGTTGCTATCATAAAGCAACCCAAAATACCTCTGAATTGTCAAGACAGAGCATTTTCCCTATAATTTTGTGATTTTCATAATCTGCTATTATTCCTCTGTCTAATTTAACTTCTCTGATGCTTTGGTGAAATCTTAAATTGCACAGATGAGTAAATGCACAAATATTATATTCTGGGTCATTCTCAAGTATGTGCAGTAGTGAATAAAGACATGCTTCCTGCAAGGCTCAGAACAAATGAACATCCATGACCCATTTGCATACTCAACATTTCATTTCTTCCAGCTAAATGCCACTTCCTCAGTCCCAGCAGTTTTACTGCTGAATATCTAGCAGATACGAATTCCTTAGTGGGAAAAATTGTGTACCTTGATAAAGAACATCTGCAAATGAAATACCTTTGTTAAATTATAGCATCTGAATAACATATCTTTTAATACAGAAACTGCCTCAGAATATAGGATTTAAAACTATAGTAATTGTCACAAATCAAAGAGATATCTCAGTGTTATAAAAAGTCTCTTTCAATAAAGAATAAACATAAATCTATCCTCTTATATTCTCAGAGTATGATTCATCTCACTTTATTAGCTCTCATAATGTGGGCATTTATTCTTATGTGGGCTACATATGCAGCTGGTGGATTGAATGTAGAGTTTGCTAGAGGGTGACCTGATCCTTCCTCAGGTAGTAGTCTAGGGTAAACAGGATGAATTACTAGATGCTGCTTCTCTCTGCTGATTACTGATGGATGTTATAATATTAGCTTACACTAGACACTTTTTGTAGTTTAAGGTAGAAGGAAAGAATCCCATGCTACACATATTATGAATTTCAGGCCTTTCAATTATTTTACTCAAAATGCTTAATGAAGGGCAAACTTTAAACTTTCACAAAGCAGTTGCGTGCCCTTGCTAGAGATTGAAACAAAACCTGTGTAATTGGTGAAACTAAACATTGCCAACAGTTTTTGTACACCTCCATGAGATGGGTCAGATGGGTCTTTAAAGCATGTGGCTTAAGTGTTTCTGATTGGGATGATACATAATCTACTTTAGTATTTGGGTTTATGTATTATGGGATTGATAGAATTGATATCACTGCAGTAACATAAATGATTCCCGTCAGTTACAATGAACTATTATCAGTTCCTAAAAATTCACCAAATTCTGAGAGTGGCCTGAAATCTTCAGGACAAAATTCTGGGATACAACTCATATAAAACTGTTTCTAGAAGTAGAAGCTATTATATAAAGAAAACAATCATTAATATACATCTGCTAGAAAATAAATACCTGTGGCCTCCTCCTTCAGAGGCTCCAATTGTGCCACGGTTTTAGAACATGAAGTGTCCCCAGCTCTGCCAGGGAGAGGAGCTCAGCAGAGTTTGGGTGATTGCAACTTGCTTAGCCAAGGGGTGCATTGACAGATACTTGTGCTGGTAAGATAACAAAACTGATCAGGAAATTGTGAAAATGAGCTAATACTGAGAGGAGATTTCACAGACCTGACAAAGGGATGGGGTTGAAGTGGCAGCTTGCGCAGACAGTGATGCTGGATGGAGCAAGAAGCTCGGGAGAGGAAATTTTGTCCAAAGTGGGTTGAACAAAAACACAGTAAAGAAAAGACTGAGTAATTAAGATCACAGAGCTAGAATTACCTATGGAAAGACAATGGGATTGAAAAGGAGTGTTGGATTACAACTGTGATAGCCACATGATATGACTGTGGCTCACAGAGCAAAAGAGATGAGGGCTGACAATTCAGAGAAAAGCAGCACAGTCTCTGAAGAGAGACAGAGAAGGGATAAGACTAGCTTGCAATGAACACACATTTCCAAAACTCTGAGCCAAATCCTCTTTTCCTCTACCAGAAGACCAACCACAGAAAAAGGCTCTGGGTACATTCACAGAGCAGAAATTCACTTTAAAGGTGGTGTACAACTCAGGGAGATTTTTCTTTCCAGCTGATCAAAGAGAAGGTTAAAAGAATCTGAAGACAGACAAATTCAGTTGCAACATCCAATATACATTTTTAATACTGAAAGTTAATATCCATTATAATTTATAAAGAGATATGGTAAATTTTCTATCAGGGAAGAACTTTCAAATAAAAATATCAATATCTTTCAATTTTCAAAAAGAAATGGTAAGAGAATTTCCAGTGGAATATGTTATCTTATGAAGAAGGTATTCTTCTTTTTTTTATCTGTAAATGCCCTCTCCAGACCCCCATTCTAGTCCACATAGAAAAGAACAAATTTCTGCAATTATTAGTTGGTTACTTAAAGTTTTTCAATGGATCCTGATTGATTCTTGGGCTTTTTATAAGGAAGAATTTCCAGAAAAAAGTCTACAGCACTTTAATGACATCACATCCACACAGAGAGTTGAAACATGTCTTCTCAGTCCCTAGTCACAAGCTCATTATATTAACTGTCCAATCAAATTTTCTTATTACAGTTTCAAAATAATTTAATTTTGTTAACAATATAGATGCATATTATACATTTTTGTTCCGCAAAACATGGAAAAAGAAATTGCTCATGCTGGGTAGACATTACCTGTTTTGATAAAAAAAATTGCACGTTTTCTATTTTTCATACTTTTTTTTCCTGTATTCTACTTTTTATTGTTCTAAGATGCTTTTTTACTGATGGAAGGAAAAACTGTAGAAAAAATAAACTAATTGTTCACAATGATAGAACTAAAAAAGAAATTTTTACCAATTACCCATATTTTACCTTTTGTTTCAGCTCTAAATATTAGAGAGAAAGTGTTTTGTCTAACCCAGCTGATGTATGTATAAAGTATAAGGTAATGTTTTTAAGGGTTGACATGCATTCATATATATAAATGGGTAAGAGTAGCACTTGGAGATTCTGATAAATCAAAGGAATTCTATACACTTATGTTTAATTCATATAATATTCTAAAGGTCTCTAACAAAACTGATTAAATCCATTACCAGATATTTTGTTAACACAGCATCCATATATAGAGACCACTGAAATACATTGATTTAAATTTATCAGAGCAATTTCTATTTGTAGAATATATCTGAGTTTTTCTCTTACAAATATATATACACATATACATACTTGTTAAGGTAATGTTCTGAAGTACACAGAGAATATAAGAATGAAATACCATCTCCAGACAATATGAAGCAAATGCTCTGGACGTTGTGAACATCCCTGCTTCAATTATTGTAATAGGGAAGACTCCTACTTTTCTTTTAGAATCTAAATATTCTGAGCTCAATTTCTGGAGTTCTGTCTCTCCACAGGGACTTCAGAGGAAAAGGAAGATATGTTTTACTTAATTTAGGTGTTTCATGACATTTCTAAGGCTTGAACAATTCAACACTTTACAGAAATTCTTCCGGATCATCTATGCCAGAAGTTCATTCACACCAAGATTTCAGCCAGGTAAGAGATTTCTGTTAGCCTCCTTTTATTCAGTTTGCTATGACTTATGTGAAGTAACAAGCCAAGTTCCTCCTTTTCTGACTGAAGCATATATTATAAGCTGTACAACACCAGTTGTTTTTAATGGGCTTTTCCTCTGGGTTTGTTGCAATTCCCACCAATGTCAGTAGGAATGATGTGAACATATGGTTAGAGAAGGCCTGAGAGAGGGCAGGAATTCTCATGCCAAGTGAACAAAATTTTGCACCACATTTCAAGTGTTTTGTGGGTTGGGTGGTGCCAGAGATGCTGTATGAACAGCACTGGTTGCAGTATTTTGACATTGCATGGAAATAACCTGGAAACACAGGCAAGCAGTTCAGCCTTGATGAAGGGTGAAACCTCAGAGACTGAGCAAGTTTTCAGCAGAAGGATGAGATTTAGCTGAACAAATTTTCTCATCATCTGACAGGATGCTTGAACCTGACAACTTTATTTGTGCATAGAAATCAGAATGTCTCTCCCTTTCCCTGTTAAGGTCTATTGGTACTAGTATGAAAAAAGTGACTTTTGTTAAAGTAAGAACTGTGAGTCTCCAAACTGAAGGCTGCAGTTTGTGAAAGGTCCTGGAGGACCTCTTATTTCACTGCCTTCTATTTTTGAAAGATTTTTTTTTCTTCTACAGCAGTATGTTCCCCTTAAAATAGCCAGAATCCTTTGAAACTGGAAGTTGGTTGTTATAACTCTTTATTCTCTCTGTTGGGCCATCAAGTATTTGGGGTTTTTTTTCAGAGTGACTGAATGTTATCCAGGATATTTAAATTTGCAGGATTCAGTATATGCTCTGTAGTGCTGGAGCCTTTAAGTTTTTAAAGATAAGAAGATTTCAGGAACACTGAATAACCAGCAAGGGATAGCTGGGATGCTTGCTTCTCCTACTATGGGCACATTACTGAACTGAAGAAACCCAGGCCTACCATTCAGGCAGAAAAACACTGAGATAAAAGTAAAAAAAATCTTACCAAGAAGGAGTATAAGTGGTAATAGAAGAACATATTTTAAAATTCAAACATTTATCCATAATTGTCAGGGTAGTCATGTCTACCTAAACCAAACTATCAAAGTCTTTGTGTTTTACCCATAACAGATTAAATCCTGAGATCTGAATACCACTCCCATCTGCAATAATCTAGGGTTTATTTTTAAAGTCAAAGTTCTTTGAAAAGTTATTCAGAGAGGTGTTAATCCAAGTACTGATGTCACAGAGATAGTTAAAAAATGAATTTTTCAGTTGACAGTGCAAACCTCCACAAATTGAAATAAGTGCTATTTTCTTGAGGGATTGTAAAAGTAAGTCTCTATGCCAAATATTTGATCTATTCTGCTCTCTTGTAAAATATATACTCTGCATAAAACACTCTCTGAAATGGGGCCTGCTTGTCCAGATGAATACATTATTCCACTGAGTGGAGAAAGGCTGATCTAGAGGCAAATTACTGAGTGTAATTTATTCCATATCCTTGCTGGAATAACTTGTGCTCCTGAGCCTCCTCAGATGTGTAGTCAATAGGGAACTCTCTGGCTACATGAGATTTCTTAATACATCTTTCAGCTAAATCAGAGATTCAGATGCAAAATCCAGCACTCAGGGAGATCATCAGAATTTGTGATGCTCCCTGGAGAACCGGAGGTCTATAAACCAATGAATGGATTACAATGAGATGTAAATTCAGTATTTCCAACTCTGGGGGAAATAACGATACTCCAATATTTTTCAAGCTGTACTTATCTCCCTCAGTCAAACAGTAGAACCTCACAGCACTTATTAAGTCCATAATGTACTTTGGAAGAAAGTTCAAGAGCTGACTGCATTTAAAAATATAGCTTTGATATATTTTTTTAAACTATCTTTGTATTAGGAACTGCCTCCCAGCCCCAGGTATGCTGAACTGAGCATCATTACTGAACATCAGTAATGTGCTCAGCTGTGGCACGCAGGCTCACTTTTTTCATCTGGTACAATTAAGTAGTTTTAAAGATTCCTTCTAGACTTGATGAAATATCCTAAGTGAAACCCAAGAGTAAGGGGATATTTGGTCCTTAATGAAGTCTTAAGTGGGAGACATCTGCAGATAGTTTGAACAACTAGTTAGAGGGCTGCTGAGTTAAGGAACAGAAGCTGTTCACTTGCAGTCTCTGGGTGAGGAAAGGGTACTCTATTCATTCAACACTTTTTAAAATACCTGTAAATGCTACGTTATTTGAGATGTGTTGTTATCTTCCTGCTGGCTAAGGTTGAACAAACTAGGTCATATTAGAAGAGAGAGCTCCTCAGCCCCAGGTAAACTGCTGCAGTGCAGTAGTTGATCTTTCTTCTCCTATTCCTCTCCTGCTTTTTTCATACCAAAGCAGTGTGATAGTTTCAGCTATCAGATTTGTACTTGTCAGATCAACTATTTTACTTCAAACTTGTCTCATTCCTTCCAAAGGTGTTGCTCAGCCTTTTTCTTCATCATTTCCAGGCTCAGCAGCAGCACAGAGGAGCCCCTCAGCTGCCCTCAATCACCATATGAAAGAGAACAGAAAGTATGTGTCTACCTTACTGATAGGTGCCATGCACAGACAGGAGGCATGGGACTCAGCTTGCAGTGTGCCACAGCTCTCAGATTACAGAGCTATACTGTGTCTCTGCTGGTGCTGAAGCTCACACTCCCTGCAAGGGCAGGCAAACCTCATGCAAACATAGAGTTAACTGCTGTAGGACCTAAAGCCCTCATCACAAAGAGAGTGCATATATTCCCCCATGAATAGCTTCATCTGTGGTTCCACCAGGAAATCAACCAATTCACACTAATTCATGGTACATTTACATGTTTACTGCATGACTGCAAACACAGGTGCTACATTTCAAAGACCCCTAAGAAACTAGATTTCAGAAGGTTTTTAATAACCAGGGAAGTGATTGACATAATGAAGTTTACAACTGACAAATGTACGTGATGAGAAGCTCAAGGACAAAATAATTTCACTTCTGTGTTACGCCACTAATGGCACCAATTTACAGATCATACTTTTATCTCAGATACTCCAAAGAATCTCTAGTTGACTACAGTGTGTACACACAGCCTAGGATGGAGCCTTTAGCTATTGAACTTCCTGGGGGCTGTTATTGATTTTGTTCCATTTTACTATTGGAGGCAGTCCATTGAATTCTGACCTGGGCTCTACAGTAATGCCTTTGGGCTCTGACACCAGGGCAAAGCAAGAGTCACAAGAAAACAGAATTAAAAAGATAATGTGTTCAATGCACAGATTCTCTACAGTTATATACTCACCCTGGAATCAGTGATCAACACAGAAGCTCTCAACATGAGTATAAAAATGTCAGAATCAGTTCCTTTATCTTGATGCAGTTTAAATATTACTTCTGGCTAAGTATTACATCTGAACCAAACACATGATTTGAGCTTACAGACACGAGTTTGTTCCTGAGCTGATTCATGTCAGTTTTATACTTGTAAACATCTTTTGATTTCAGGGGCATTAATTCATATTTTCAATAACTCAGTGGTAACAGAATATGGAGTAGTCTTAGAGTGTCTGTTCAGAACAGCCAGTGAACTCCCTTGGTACATAAAGAAAAATGTCTATTTTCAGTATTAGAGACAAAAAATAAAGCCAGTCAGGATACAGTAAACCTCTTCACTGAAACTAATACAGAATAGGAGTGCACAGCTCCTTGAATGAGGACATCTTGAAAGAGAGAGTATTATACAGTACAGGCTCTTATTCCACTGCTATTTCCACATTAGATGGGATGTGTAAGACAAGTGCTGTATACAAAGGCTAAGACATTAAACTAATTTTAATAAGATTCCTTTATGTTAAATCAGAGAAGAGGGTGGATTTGAAAAAAAAGGTGTAAATGATATATTTTTCCTATTTTTTCTCTAAAGTTTTCTGAGGTGAAGTGAAATAAAGAAATACAGGAAGGTGGATGGAAGGTTAAAATATTCACAAAATAAACTTGAGATATTCAAGCTTTTCATAGTCCCAAGAAACATGTTTAATGGGAGCTGAAAGACTTGAAAAGAAACCTTGTTGTGGTGCACAGCAAAGTAATGTGAAAAAAAACCCCTTCATATTTCTTCAGCCTCTAGCTTAGCTCTCACTGTGGGGAATCTTGCTGTGAAAACATTAATCACTGCTGCTTAATAGTATCTCTGCTGGTTGCACCAGGGTAGCAAGTGGCTACATAATGCAGCAGATGCTTCCTTCTTTAAGTGTAGCACCTACAGGACTGTGAATTTTCCAAAGGGTTTTCAAACTTACCATGATGCAAAACTGACCAGAAGGTACTGGAAATATGTTGCCTGGCTCTCCAGAGCGCACAGATTCTGGAAGAAGATGAAATGATACCTTTTGTCCTCTGCTCCTTTTTTTGTTTTTTTGTTTTATGGAGAAAGGAAATGAATGACCTCCTACAAATCCAGCTAGCTACCAGAGATGCTTCCAGAGCAAGGTATCAAAGATTTTCCTTTTTTTTAAGCTATTCCTTAGACTGCAGATTGGTTAGGGACTTTAAGTACTTTTCTCAATCCTTACTCTTTTTTTCCCTTCCATTTTTAGCACTTGCTTCCCTTAGAAGCAGAATGGACATTTGCTTTGATGCAGTAATTGTTGATAGTTGATTAAATCCTATTCTTTATCAGTTCTGCTCAGCTCTCATTCTTGCTACCACCAAAACATTTCTAGTTACTTTCAGTCCTTATGGGCCTAACCTCTTTATATTATTTTCCCTTCCCTCATCTCCTCCATTAGCAGATCTATCAATATTGTCATCATCATCAACATTGATGATGTTCAATTGTTCAATTTCCAATGAAGAAAAGTCTAACAAAGAAGTCTTAAAAAACGAGGTCTTGTATAAGATATCAAACAGGGAGATTGGTACAAGGAAAACTACTTAGCCAAAGGCATCTTTTCTAGGATGGCAAAATCAACCCTCTTTTGAGTTTCTT